TGGTGCCGGCATCTCTTAATTTAGAAGATATATAGTCTCCCCTTCTGAACACAGCCTAAGAAAATGTGTAATTTGGAATTAACATAAGAGCTAAAGACATCTGAAATGTATTCTTTCATTTTTTAAAGATCAAATTCTTTTTTTAAAAAAGAATAAAAATGTTACCAACAAACCCGGCCTTCATTAAAACGTAAGCCTGCATTTTTCTACATTTAATAAAAATGTCCAATTACAAAGTTGATTTTGAAATGTAACTTTTTAAACTTAAACAGCAAAAATGTTGCATTTAAAATGAATCAGAATAGGCAAAAAAAAAAGACAGACCCAGGAAGACAGAGGTTTTGGTGAAAGTTAAAATATTATTTCATCCTTTTGTAGACCTTAGAATCATTCCTGTATTTTATAGTCTAGATCCATGCATTAACTTGAAATGACCTTGACTCCTGAAATCCTAAATTTAACACTCTTCAGAACAAAGTAGCTTTTCTCTTTTGCTTTATGAGCAAATGGACTAAATACTAGGGAATGGGACTGTCTGGGCCTTTGAACCAAGACTAAAGGAGATGAAATCCTGTTTGATATGTATAAACATTAGAGAAACCATTTTGATTTAATAAAAGGATGACTTTGTTTCATATCCTGTGAGAAAATATTCCCCTCTTCCTGAAAATGCTCTCTCATTCCAATAATAGAGGGCTGATTTCTTTCCATGGTGTGGGGTGGAGGGTGGAGGCTAGGTAGAGTTGCTATGAATATAATATCCATCAAGATTGCCATTAAATCCATTTCTCAAAATGCACCGTGGTGGAAAATTCAGACTGCAGTGAGAGGAAATAAGCCTTTGACTTCACCAGAATACAAGGCCACGTTTAAACCAGCAGGTAAGTATAAAACAATAACAGTACAAATTTACTATTTGCAACCTTGCAGTTTCCTAAATCTCTACATTACTTTAAAAGCCTCAGAGAAATGGTTTTATAATGCTTTACTAATATTTCAACACCTGAAAAGCCTTACCAAGTTAAACTCTACAGTCTTGCATTCCAGAAGTGACCTAATTCAATCCTTTATATTTTTCAGACTATCTCTCTCAAATTTTCATTTCTTTTCTTTAATTGAATAATGAGAAATTTTAGGTACCTGTCCACAAAGAAATGAAATGCTCATCTTTCTACAAAGCAAAAAAATGAAAAGATAAAAATCAATTTCAACAGAATATTGCCAAAGAAATATTTTAGAATTGAATGTTTTAATTATGTATTTATACTTATCCGGTTCTACTATTTGAGTCGCATTTACACTTCAAAGCTAAACTCAGATAACATCATGTTGGACAGAATCTGACTTCATGTTTAGCTGAGATCTTCAAGACTGAAAAGCACCATGACAAACGCACATTTATTGTTTTGACTAGAGCATCAGTCTTTATCACCATTCTGTGTGTGTGTAAAGTAAATGTCTGTTGTTTCCGCCTGCCCAGTACCCCTGCCCTAATTTTCTTTTGGAGAACCTCTCTATTTTAGACCACGTGGAGCTAACACCAAACGCCTTTCCAGGGGAAGGTACCTGAGTCCCAGCCTGGTCGTCCAAACAGTCTACTCTCCATGTTCAGAGAGGGGAAAGTGACTCTAATCACCTGTATAAAAACACACCTGGGACTTTTGCTGCAAATATCGAAAAAGAAAGCACTCTCTTTTTCTTGCTAGGACTATGTTGGCGGCACTTTCTAAGAGGCTATCATATGGAAACAACTTGTTTGAAAATGAAGCCAAAACTGGAAAACAGACCCTGGTAACACTGATTGATGGATCTAGTCGTACCTTAAATGGCAAGACCCACCCCTAGGCTTTTAGCATCAACCAAATAAAATCCTTAAGCCAGTTTGGTTTTGCCACTTGCAGCTAAAAGAATTCTGACCCTAAAAACTTGACAACGCTAAAAATAAACCTGACTGCTTTTGAGGTTTCCAATGGATTTTTCTCCTCATATTCCTGATCTCATTTAATCCTCACAATTTACGAAAGCACATATCCATTAAACATTAAATTAACAGTCATTATTTTTTGAACACAGACTATGTAGAAGAGGGATGGGGAAAGCCAGGGGAGTAATCAATCTGAAGTCTCACCTACAAGGGAGAGAACTGGAGGTTACCTATCTCGGGGCACTCAGTAGGTAACACCAAATGAAAGAACAAACAGCATATGGCAGAGCCAGGAGGCGATCCCTCACTAATCCCTGGAGGACAAATTCGGAGGCTTTTGCAGTACCTTGGACCAGAGATGATAAGCCCCAAATAGGCAGACTTATGAGAATCGCTCAAATAACAGGATACAGAGATGGAGTCAGGTTATATGTGAGGGTCCCTAGAGTTCTTATATCTAGATGGGTGCAGCTGATGTCACTAGGATAGGGAAAGAAGGAAGGGGCTTAGTTTGGGAGTCAGGGAGGGAGACAAAGATCGAGTCAGATAAACACACAGGCAGGATATATAAGCAAAGAGGTCCAGCAAGCCCTCAGAATGACAGGGCTTATATCTAAGCGGCTGAGACTGGAAATACAAGATGGAGAATCACTGGCATGCCCAGGGCATACCCAGGGCAGTTCAGGCGTGGGCACTGTCCACCAGAGCACGCTGGGAAGAGAAGAGGAAGAGGCTGAACACCATCTCCTCCGGGTAACCTCAGTCCTGCTTGTGAGTGCCATGAAAACAGGCTCCCCTGTCCCCCATACCCTGCTCTTGAATGCAGCCCGATAGGGGCTCAGGAGGAGCTCGGTAAATATTTGTGGAATGACTGGCAACGTGCGCCTGGCACTGCGAGCATGGGGTTGGTTCTGCAAGAGCGCTCCTCCAGGTCCCCTCCACCCAGAACTGCCAGTCTTGGCCGCTACCCTGGATGCGGTCTCAGTATTCAGTCTCACCTCTGAAATTAGTTCATGCTCTCACATTAGGTGTAATCGCAGCTGGGGACGCTTTCTGGGGACATCTCTGAAAGATCTGAATTGAAAAAATATTTTCATGTCATTTAAATTTAAAGTAAAATTGCTGCCTCTTCCCCCCCTCCCCTGCCCCTGCCCTTTCTCCTGGCCCACCCAGTGACCCTCTCGCAGGTCTCAGAACAGAGGTGTGGGTCCGTGGTGGAGTCCTCCCTCCAGGAAATTCTTTGAACAGCTTTAAATGAGTCTCAAAGAAACAAAGGAGACCTAGAAGCAGAAAGGCATGGCTGTTGGCGATTCCAAGGCCGGTTCCCCACGTGAGGAGAGCGTAGCCTAGGTGGCCCCAGACCCGAAGCACCAAGCCCAAAGCCAAGGGTCGGTGCTGTCAGCAGGAGCCCAGTGCTCCCCAGGTCCTGAGGCTCGCGCCGCCGAGATTCTGCCCGGTTCGAGTCGCCAGCGGTGACCAGAGGGCCAAGAGCCCCGCAGGCAGCATCCTGACCGGACTCTGCCGAGGGTCACAGCCGGACAGATCACGCGCCCTCCCGTGCCGGGTTAGCTGCCTGCGCGCCCTGCAGGTCTCTGCTTTGCGCACTCGGACTGGTGCGCGCCCTCCCTCACCGCCTCCGCGCTCTCCTCTTCCTGACACTCAGCGAAGGTGTTTTTACTTTCGTGTGTGTATGTGTGTGTGTGTGTGTGTGTGTGTGTGTGTGTGTGTAGTTCCAATTCTACACACGGTGCGAAAATTCATTTAGGGTCAAAATTACCCTCGGAAAGCCGCCCATACCTCGCAGGATTTGGTGTCCACACTTACGCGAGGATAAAGCGTGCCACAAAGGTGCACAGCAACTAAAAACCATCGATGCAAAATATAAATTTTAAATGCAAAAGAGAAAAACCGGTAGACGAGCTTGCGTGCGATGCCACGGTCCCTGTCGCCGCCCCGCGTGCTGCACACCGAGGGGCACGAAGGCGGGCCTCGCCTGTTTCGCTCGTCACCGCAGCCCCGCGCCCGGCAGTACCGGGTACTTGGTACGGGTTCAAGGGTCCACTCCAGCAAGGGAGCAAATGCACAAGAGGACGAGCGAGCGCGGTCCGACCCCCTGGGCCGCTGTGCGTGGCGGCTGAGAGTCGGGGGCCGCGCTCCATCCTCGCGGCCGCGGCGGGGAGCGAGCGGGCGCGGAGACTACCGGCATCCCGGCCCCGCACGGAGTCGCGGCCATTCCGGGCCCGAGTCGCGGCCGAGCCCACGCCCCGCGGCACCACGTGCGCCGGCCCCGCCCCGCCGTGCACGCCCGCGCCCCGTGCCCGCGCCCGCGCCAGGCCCTCCCGCGCCCGCCGGGGGGCGCTCCCTCCTCCCACCCGCGCGCGGCGGTGCTGCCCGGCTTAGCGCGCGCCGCCTCCTACCTGAGGCCCGGCGACGGAGGCGGCGGCAGGGCCCCGGGCGCGAGGCAGGAAGCAAGAGAGCCAGCGGCCGCGGCGGCCTGGCGGGCGCGGGCACGGGCGCGCGCTCCCCGCACTCACTCTCCCAGTCGGCTCCGGCCAAGGCCCAACCCCGCCGCCGCGCGCCGCCCGCCTCGCCGCGCCTAATAACAACGGCGCGCGGGGTCAGGTGGCCGCGCGCGGACAGCGCCGCCATTGGCTGGGCGCGGA